GGCATACAGAAAAACACAGTATGAAGTGTGAGTAAACAGAATGTGGGAGATGGCAAAAGGATTGCTTTAGCCTATGGAGGAAGGCTGTGTCATAGAGAATGGATCTTGTTGGAGGACTGAATAATTCACTGAAGATTTGTTTTTGATGGACCACATCTTGAGATGGAAAAATGACACCATGACAATAGGGTTAGGAGTCATTCTGGCAAACTTGGGTCTAGAGACCCAAGGCTCTCTGGTCACATTGAGAGCTGATTGTCTCTGTGATGGTGGGAGACAGTGGGACTTGATATTCCTTCCGTGTTATTTTTTCAAAACCAGACTAAGAAATATTCATCTAGGACTCCCTTGACCTTAGGATGGCAAGAAATTTCTACTTATATGCTAATTCAGACTAATTAGTAGCAGTTGCCTGGGTGTTGTGATGAGTGGGGACTCTAAGGTAGACTCAGGGTTCATGGGCAAGAACACTATTATGGATCAGTAGTGTCTTATCTGTGGTGGCAAATGTGCTGATTATATTGCTGACCTTGTGAGGACTCCAGAGTCCTAGTGATGAGCCTTATAAGCTGGGTGTACAGATTTCTTCTGCTCTGTCTTCTGATCACTTGATTTCTTGTATATTCTGCTGTTGGCTAGTTCCAGCCCACCCTCTTCCACTACTTCCAGCTCACCTTTCTCTTAGCTTTTGTTTATCTGGTAATATCTTAACTTCTCCTTCATTCTTGAAGGACAGTTTTGCTAGATATATAATTCTTGGGTGACAGCTTTTTTTTTTTTTCTTTCAGCACTTCAAATATATCATCCCTCCGTCTTCTGATCTCCATGGCTTCTGATGAGAAACCAGCTGTTAATTGTATTGAGGATCCCTTGTATGTGATGATGAGTCACTTCTCTCTTACTGTTTTCCAGATTCTCTCTTTGCCATTGGCTTTCTACAATGTGATTATAATGTCTTGGTGTGGATCTCTTTGAGTGCTTGGAGTTTGTTGAGTTTCTTGGATGTGTAGACTCATGTCTTTCATCAAATTTGGGAAGTTTCTTCAATATTTCTTCAAATATCCTTTCTGTAACTTTTTCTGTCTCCTTCTGGGACTCAGATAATGTATATTTTGGTTTGCTTTATGGTGTCCCACAGGTCCCTTAGGCTCTGTTAACTTTTCTTTCTGCTACTCAAATGGGAATTGTTCTATCTTCAAGTCTACTGATTTATTCTTCTGTCTGCTCAAATCTGCTGTTGAACCATTCTTGTGAACTTTTAATTTCAGTTATTGTACTTTTCAGTTCTCTTTTTATAATTGCTATTTCTTTACTGATATTCTTATTTTGTTCATACTTTGTTTTCCTGGTTTCTTTTGCCCATGTTTTCCTTTAGCTCTTTGAGCATATTTAAGACAGTTTATTTAAAGTCTTTGTCTAACAAGTTCAATGTCTGGGTTTCCTCAGGGATAATTTCTGTAAAATTATTTATTCCTTTGAATGGGCCATGCTTTGTTTCTATGTCTTGTGATTTTTTGTTGAAAACTGGATATCTGAATATTATAATATGGTAACTCTGGAAATCAGATTCTCATCCTTCCCCAGGGTTTGCTGTTCTTGATTGCTGAAGGCTTCAGTCATCTGTTTTCTTAGTGAAGTTTTCCACACTATTCTCACAAAGATTGTCATGTGCAGCCACTAAAGTCTCTGTTTCTTAGCTTGTGTTCAGTGTTTTGACAGAGATTTCCTTGTACACCAGGAGCTAAAAACAAACAAATCCACAAGAAAACAAAAACATAAAAACACCTCTCTCAGCCTTTTCAGATTGACTTTGTGCTGGGGCACTCCTTTAACTCTTAGTCAAACCATTTACAACTCTGCCTCAGCCTTCACTTCATGGTGGTACTGAGTCTAGACGTCAGCCAGTGGTGAACACCTAGGTTCTTCTCAAATCTTTTCTGAGTATGTCCTGTCCTGGGCATACTTGTGGATTTCTAAATTCTCCAGTATACACAGGCACTTTTGAGTGCCCTAATTTTCCCAAAAAACTCTCTCCCTGGCTTTTCCTTACAGGTTTTAAACAATCTATTGTATGTCTCAACAGTAATCTTTTGCCCCAGGTGGCTGCAATTTTTTCATTCACTTTGTAATACTTTCAAGCAATATCCACTGCTCTTCCACCGAGTGGGTTCTGAATTAGGTGAAACAGAGCTAAGCTATTGTTTATCAGTCCTTTGGGTGGCCTCTAGAGAGGTTAGAACAGAAAAACAGTAATGATTTGCAAATGAGCTCTGCTCTGTTCCCTCCAGTACCAGGGATCAGGGTCTCACACTGGGAACACAGGGCTGCCATCTTCAAGATTGCTGCAGAGCCAGGGAGAGGGTGGGACAGGGGCAAGTAAAATGCTATAAAGCTTTTCTTCCATTCTTAAGTTGCTTTTTTCTTGATTCAGTATTCACTTGGTTGCTGTAAACTTTTGACTATTTTCCAGAATTCTGAAAAAGTTGATTCTGGCAGATTCTACTTGTTTTTTGATGTTTCTGTGGAGGGATGGGTGCTTGGAGCTGCCTACTCTGCCATTTTGTTGACATCAGTGCCCACAATATGTCTTTTATTTTCCATGTATCTGTTCCTGTGGGAACTCAGGTGAGGAGGCCAAGGTTCCTACCTGCCATTTTTTCAAGATGAGCAAAACTTCTCAGATTGACATATAAAACTCAATTCTGTGGATGTGCTGAACCAGTTAGTAGATGACAAACATCAGCCCCTACCCAGTCATACACACCCTCTCACTCTGGAAATCTGTGGACCATATGCCCCCTTCTTCCATCAGTAAGTTCCCATTGCTCCAAATGGTCCCCAAGTTGGCTAGTATAATAAAGCAGATGGTGGGCAGGGGAGAAGCCAGGAGGAGACAACTTATCCTTTTACTATCTAATCCATATACAAGGGCTGATCAAATGAAGCACTGTCAATACCTAGACCAGTGATTGTCAAACTTCAGTGTGCCTGAGAACCCCCAGAGGGCTTGTTAAAACACAGATTAATGTGTTCCATCTCCAGAGCTTATGATTCAGGAGATCTGGGATGAGGCCTGAGAATTTTCACTTTTCCACAGATAATGCTGATGCTGCTGGTTCAGAAATCACAATTGGAGAACCCCTGACCTAGGCTATTGGTTGTTAACCTTGGCTGCATGTTAGAATCACCTGGAACGCCAAAAAAAAAAAAAAATCCCATGGTCAGGCCATACCTCAGACCAATTTCAACAGAATCTATGTCAGTGGCATTAGACATCTGTATTTCTAATGATCCCCAGGTGATTCCGTTGTGTAACCAACGTTAAGAATCGCTGATATAGGCTCTTGAGGCAGAGGATACTCTCGAAGTCAGGGCATCTTTCCTTGGGATGAATGAAGCTGGCAATGATTGTGATGGTAATCGACTCCTCTTGGACCACGGCTTGGTCAAATGTTTGAGCAGAGTGAAGAACGTTGAAATAACAATCGTGGAAAATGGTAGACAAGCTGATTACAGAAACAGAAAATGGTTTCTGGGAAGTAGTGAAAGATTTCTGTGAGGTAAAGACCATGAATTTATACTGAAGCTCTTCTGCAAAATGTATGGTTATTTCCACTAGGTGTTAGCAGCCTGGGCAAGGAAATTGAACATTTGCATTGATCCAAAGTTAACAAACTTCTCAGGTAGTTACAGACAGTAAGCCAAGGAAGTTAAGGAAATTGGTGTGAGTGGCTAAAGTGCTGAACCCTAGAGACTAGGGCCTAATCCCAATAACAAACGCAAGAGAATGCTAAATTGTGTACTGGATATACACACAACGTCCCTTTCTGAGGGGAGTTACTCCCTTCCCTATTCCACAGGGTTATAGTGTGACAAACACAGAAGCCCAACTCCCCACCACTGGGGCAGACACGTGACCCAGGCTTGGCTAATCATTCTATCCCTTTCCCCTGAACACAGTCATTGGTCCACGAGTGAGCACAAGTCCCAAACAGAACCAATCATAGTCCTTCCCTGCAATGCATTTATGAGAGGTGGTGTAGTTTGAGACTACATTAGATAGGATGGAAGGCCTCTCCAAAGCAGTCACATTTAAACTGAAACCAGAATAACAAGAAGCTTGCTGCGCGGAAGAAGGCAGAGGAAGTAAGGAGTACAAAGGTTTTGAGGTGAGAACGGGCTAAGCTTATTCAAAGGAGATAAGGTCAGTGTAAAATGCCGTTCCCATTGCCTGAACTGCTCTCCTTACTCTGGTTGTTAGCTGCCTTCCAGTTGGCCCTGACTCATGGTGAGCCCATGCACAACAGGACGACTATTGTGATCCATAGGGTTTTCATTGGCTGGTTTTTGGGAAGTAGATCGCCAGGCATTTCTTCTGAGTCTATTTTAGTCTGGCAGCGCCACTGAAACCTGTTCAGCATCATAGGAACACGCAAGTCTCCAGTGACAGAAGTGTGGTGGATATGCTTGAGGCGCATGGGCTGAAAATCCGAATCAAACCCGGGTCTCCCGCATGGAAGGTGAGAATTCTACCATTTAACCACCACCGCCGTCCTCTCACTCTTAACCTAAGTAATTCCTGCCCAACCCTAAGATTTCAACTTGCATATCACACCCTCAAATTAAGCCCTCCCAGATGGCAGAGCAGGTCTCCCTCCGCCTCCAGCAGACGACAAGCCTGCTCCTACGGTCTAGGAGTCTGTGTTTACCAGACTCACGGAGCTCGGAAAAGGGTGTGACGGGACAAGAAGATGCGCACTGAGGGCAGGAAGGGGGTCGCGCAAAACCTCCTTGCGGGAAAGCGAAGCCAACTCCTAACTTCCCCAGTCCAAAGCAAGGCGTGGGGAGAGACACCAGCGCGCAGAGCGGACGGTAACGGTACGGAAGTGCATCCCCGGAGCCCCTCTAGGAAACCCGGAGGACCCAGCCTGTCAATGATCCTGGGGCTGAAGTGGACATCGCACTATGCACATGGATATTCCAGGGAGCCGACTTGGTGGGCGGAGGCGAGGTGGGGCTCGTTTCATGGAGAGAATCAGCAAAAAGCAAACCTGGAAAAGGCGAGGAGGGGTTGGCATGGTCGACCACCTGTTCCTCGAGCAGAGTGCAGCGCCCGTTGATTGGCTGAGAGCCCCCCCGGGTACCGGAAGTGGCCGATGCCCGTCGCCGTTGACACCGAGACAACAGCTGCGGGCTCTGAGAGAGCGGGCGGAGCAGCGCCAGGAGCCCAAGCGGAGTGAGCGTGGGGCGGTACGGCCTGCGGTGAGGCTCATTCTGTCCCCATTGCGGGGGTGGGGGGAGGAGGGCGTTGGACTCCCGACTCCCCGGCCCGCGAGCGGAGTGTAAACCTCACGTTTAGATCCATTCCCGACCCCGGCTCTCTGTGTGACCTTGGACTTCATGGTTCCCAGGCCACCACCATTTCCCCACCTGCACACAGAGGGTGTGGGGCCTGGACATTGGCAGGGCCTGTCCCAACTCTGGTTCTGTGCCTGTCAGCCGCGGGAGAAGGGGCGGGAGAAGCAGGGACACCCCGTTCCTCGGTCCTGTCTTGGGGGCCGATGGGAGCTGTAGTTTTCTCAGACATTGTATCCTCAAGTAAACTGCGGGGACGAAATGACGGGGCATGGTCAAAACTTAGGGCCCCAGTGACGGCTTGTGCCCTGTTCTGATTTATGAGGGTTAGTTATGCAAATGAGGCAGGTTTGAACGCAGAGTTAATAGAGCCCTCTTGATTGTGGGAACCGGGCTGGGGGCGGGGGGGAACGGGAAGAAAAGAGGATGACATCATTAAATATCATCCAGATTGGGAGAAGGAACTTATTTTTACAAATAGTTATTGACACCAGCTATGTGTCAGAGACTGCCCTAGGTTCTTTAAATACAAAGATGAATGAACCATCCAGTTAGTCCTCAAGGGTATTACAGACTAGTTACCTAGATAAGTCATTTACACAAATTAACAAACATTTGCTAGGTACTGGGAATACCAAGATGAATAACACATCATCCTTGCTCACAGTCTAAAGAAGAAAACAGACATGAAAATAAACTGTAGCAACAGAGTAGGGGGTATGTACAAGATGACAGAGCTGTCTCTGTCTGTCTTAGGGGCTGGAGTCAGGGAAGAAAATGGAGGTGTCCCTGCTTGAGCTGAGTCTTGTAGATGTTTGTTAAGTGCACAAAATGGGGAAGAGTATTCCAGGAAGTGGGAATAGCATATTCTTAAAGGCAGAGAGGCTTTAAAGAATAGAGAGTGTTTGAACTGCAGGAAACTGAGTATGACTACAGCTTCCTACAGTCATTGGAGATTGTAGGACAGGTGATGGAGAAGGGAGACATGGGCCTGACTAGGAGGGCATTAGGAACCATGCTAAGAGTTTTTATTCTGTAGGTCTTGGGGAGCAATAAACAGGAAGTGATGTGATAACTATTATACAAAGAGAGAGATGAGAAAAGAGCCAGTGAAATGCTGGTTCAAAGGACCAAGAGAGAACTTCCTTCCTGCAGATGTTAGTGAAGACTTTGGGGAGGATGTAATCCATGTACTAGATATTGAGTGTTTGGTAGGATCTGGTCTTTCAGAAGTTAGGGGAAAGCACCTGTATCCGTTAGCATAAGGATGCTTTTGTCTGTAAGTAACAGAACTCAACTCGTGCTGGCTTAAAAATATGCAAGTGTTTAAGCTCACATAGGTAGACGTCAAAAGGTATAGCAGTTTCAGGACTAACTTAATCTAGTGTTTCTGGCTCCATTTACCCTTGATTTTCTTAGCTTTTCCTGCCCTCATCCACAAGCTGGTAGTGAGACTGCAGCAGCAGTTCCAGGCAACAATATACAGAGGAAGTCTCTTCCTGTGGCTCTCTCAGGATGCAGGAGACTATTCCCAGAAGCTCCCAGCAAACTTCCTCAGAATATCAGTGACACAGATGAAGTCATATGTCCGTTCCTGAACCAATCCCTGCTGTTTCTGAACCAGTCACTTACAAGGGGATGGTATTAATTTGACTCAGTAGGGGCTCACTCCTGGAGCTTTTGAGTGAGGTTGGATCTCTTGCAAAGAGATCAAGGCCACTGTAAACTTTTTTTGCTCAAATACCCCATAGAATAATTTTGAAAAGCTTTGTATCCCCATACACATTTGTAAGTTGACATCCAAAATGTTTCATCATTTTTCATCATGAGTTTGAATAGTTTCAGTGGATGCTATACTATACATTTTGACATTGCAAAATAAAATTTTCAAATTTTCATGAGTTTAATTTTGAAGAGTAACCTCATCACAATTTCCAGGATACCTTCTCTTGGGTCTGTGTGCTTATCCCATTCTCCTCTCTGTACTCTTCATCTGTTACCAACCCCCCTACATACACACACATGCACACACACTTCATTTACCTCCCTCTGTCAGTCAGTCATCTCAACCATGTCCTGGCCAACATCCTCAAGTCCCTCACTCCTTCAGTGTTCCATATACCTCCCCAGAGTCCCATTCTACTTTGGGACTCTGCTTTGGGACTTTGGGCCAAACATGCTGTTGGAGAAAGCCAGAAAACCATGCTGATTGGCTCTTCCTCACATACTTGTCTCATAAGGAGATTGTGAGGGTTAAACAGGATAAATTCTATAAATTGCTTAGCACACAGCACATAGAAAGCTTTCAGCATGACTCCTCACATTAAAATTCCATGCATCCTCACTTACCTTCTCTCCTTATCTGTCCTAACCTTGCACATGCTATGTTGAAGTCAAAATGTTCTTCTCTCTTTTCTTTTTTTTTTCTTACTTCTTCTGTACTTTCTGGCATCTGAGGCTTTGCTTACCCATTCTTTGTTCAGACTACTGTAGTGCTACAGTCTTCAAACTGGAGTATGTGGAGGAGGCACACAACACTTTCTGAAACATTCATGAGTACACAGATGGTTGAGTGGAAATCAATTTCCAGATGCTTGACTTCAGTTTGTATCCTTGCCTATGACTTAACTGCTTGAGAATGGGCCTGTGGCCTATAGGTCTCTCTTTTCTTACCTCCTCTTTCACAATTGCTCTTTTCCTCCTGTACAAAAGAAGACATACCTCTCACCCACCCCATCTTAATTTTACTATATGCATCATCCTAGAGTGAAAAAACCCCCGGAGTACTACACAAAGGGACAATTTGTTAGAGTCTCAATCTTTGCTTTCAACAGAATTTAAAGAAGATCTAATCAGACTATCAGATGATAGATAATTTATTAATATTTTTACTATAAATCATAGCATGATTTTTGGCATACGGCTCAGATAAGTTCAAAGAAATAAATGATATTGCTATCACAAGGGATCACCGTAAATGCTGATTCAGGCAGTTTGACCAAACTCGGGTGCAGTCAGAATAACTAGAATAAGGCTGATAACAATAACTGAAATGTGATTTTTAACTCTGAAAGGGGTATCTAGCCAGTTGTATTATTCTGCCCTGTGTGTTCTCAGAAGTTTAGTGTAGGAAGGGCAATCAAGATGGAGGGTATTAAAAAAGAAGTCAGAGCAAGAATTACAGTGTTTCTGCATTCCTGGTGCTTGATCTGCTTGTAGACCAGAGCAAGGGTAGAGGTGGACCAACCAGACTGAGAGTGAGGTAACTGCAGGCATTAAGACTAATACAGTGGTTTCCAAACCTGGCTGGGCATCAGAATCACCTGGGGACTTGTTAAAAATACAGATCCCTTGACCTAACCCCTGGAGATTCTGATTCTGAGAGATTGAGCTGGGACCTAGAAATTGTTATTTTAAACAAACTTCCCAGTTGATTCTTATGCAGCTAGCCTAGATCCAGGCCAAGAACCATTATTTAAGAATCACTGATCTAAATAGATTTTCCTGCTGTGATTGCAGGCCTACCAAAGAACTTTTAGGGTGTTTTTTTTTTTAGATTTTCATCCAGGCATTGTGGTTGTTTTGAAGTTTTATTTCTAATTGTTGATTAACAGGACATTCTGGTTTATGCATCAGTATTTTGTGAATGAGGCTTTCTGAGCCTGCTCTCCTAAGGTACATTGAAAAAACAAATCCACAATACTGGGAAAGCCAGCACAACTTGCCCAAGGCAAGGTCATGGAAGCTTCGTAGACACATCCAAATTTCCTAAGGGACCAAATTACTGGACTGAGGGCTGGGGACCATGGTCTGGGGAACATCTAGCTCAATTCACATAACATAGTTTATAAAGAAAACATTCTGTATCCTACTTTGGTGGGTAGTGTCTGGGTCTTAGAAGCTTGTGAGCAGCCATCTAAGATACTCCACTGGTCTCAGTCCATCTGGAGCAAGGGAGAATGAAGAAAACCAAAAACACAAGGGAGAGATTAGTCCAAAGGACTAGTGGACCACTTCCACCAGACTGAGTCCAGCACAACTAGATGGTGCCTGGCTACCACCACTGACTGTCTGACAGGGTTCACAATAGAGGGTCCCTTACAGAGCTGGAGAAAGATGTAGAACAAAATTCTAACTCTCAAAAAAAGACCATACTTACTGGTCTGACAGACTGGAGAAACCCGAAGAATATGGCCCCCGGGCACCCTTTTAACTCAGTACTGAAGTCACTCCTGAGGTTCACCCTTCGACCAAAGATTAGACAGGCCCATAAAACAAAACGAGACTAAATGGGCACACCAACCCAGGGGCAAGGATGAGAAGGCAGGAGGGGACAGGAAAGCTGATAATGGGGAATTCAGGGTCTAGAAGGGGAGAGTGTTGACAAGTGGGGTTGGCAACCAATGTCACAAAACAGTATGTGTATTAATTGTTTAATGAGAAACTAATTTGCTCTGTAAACCTTCATCTAAAGCACAATAAAACAAACAAACAAAAAACAGGTCTGCAAAGCTCTGGAGACCCTATTCTTAACTATGGTGACCCAGCAGAAGTCTGCCTGTTGTCCCCAAACTGAAGACCAAGAGTGGTCAGCCTCCACTCCTCAAGTGACACCTCTGTCTTATCTCTGTCCAGAAACAGCTAATTTCAGATTTAGAAAAGTGAAGAAGTGAGAGACAGATAGGAAATTGTGGTTGGGAAATTGCATTTAAGCAATGAGAAGTGGAGTGTTTCCATCGGAGGACGAGGTCTAAGGTATGGCTGGGCCTCTGGGAGAACGAACCAAATACAGATTGGCTTTGACTTGTATATGAGGAGATAACTATAAATAGTATTCAACAAATGGCATTAATATTGTGTCACTGGCAAATAAATGCGAACGAAAGGAATGATCAGAAGAAGGGGTC